CTGGGCCTCGGGGGGATCTATTTGACTTTGCCAGACCTTGAGTCAGTCTGTTCATGCAGACTGGAGATGGTGCTAGGCCTGGCTCGTCTGTTCCTGGAGAATTAAATCAGGTTATTAGTGTAACGTGTTAGCTTAGTGCTCGGTGTGTAGCGAGCACACAACAAACTTCAGTTGCAGTTATCACTTAATGTCTGAGAAGTGTTTAATATATACACTAGTTAGTGTGATGGAAAGGAGCAGCCTGGCTTTCCACACCACCGCCGTAGCCAAAGCAGCGGCAGAACGCAGCTGGCTTTGGTTTCCACGGAGCGCCTGGGCAGGGGATCGGTGGGCGATCGGTGGGCGATCGGTGGGCGAGGGGGCGTAGTGCCTCCGGGAGATTTCTGAAGTGCCGTTCTTTGGTCAAATATGAGTTTGGAAAGAGAAGAAGTTTAGAGGAATGTGTTTGTATGAAACTTCTGTAATGGGTGGCAAAAAAGCTCTTAAAACGAATGATGAGGAAGCCCCCTTACTTTACATCGCCGACCTCACGGGAGCATCTCTGGGGCTGTTATTAGGTCTGGCAGCAAGGCATGTTCTCTCTCTCTACTCACACGTACATACAAGGTCATTCCCAGGAGCTCATGGGAAATGAAAGAAAAACCAACATTGCTTTTGAAAATAGAGCTTTTGGAATCCATGCGTAGTTTTTCCTCACACACATGTCGAAGGCCCTTCTGTGTGTGGATGTCTCCTGTGCCCCTCCTCCTTTCCCTCTGGCCTCTGTGTGTGCCCCCTTCTGCCTCTTCCCCGGGCCCTTTTACCCTCCATCCTGCTGTCTGTCCCTCTCTTTGCTTCGTCTCTCTGACTCATTCCCCCTGTCTCGTCTGATTGTTTCCCTCCCATTCCCTTGCTCTTTCTGTATCTCCCTCTCCCTCTTTCTTGTATCTGTCCTTTCACTCTCCCTCTTACTATCTCTCCTCCACTCACTGGACTGACCAGGCAGGTGTGGTCTGGCCAGAAGCACATGGGAGGTGTCACTTTCCTCCATGCCGTGTCTTGGAGGGCACGATTTATTCCTTGGCTAAAGCCAAGAGCCTGGACACAGGATGTCAGGAGGATACGCATGCTGCTCAACAGAGGAGGCAGCATTGGGGAGCTGGGATGAACCTCTCCAGGAGGAACAGGGCAGACTAGCCCTGGGGGTGTGAGGCCTCGTGGCTGGGTAGTCCACGGAAGAGCCAGGCCATTCACCCCTTGGCCTTCTGAGCCTCGGCAGGCAGCTGGGAGCGTAGCCAGTGCCCTCAGAGGTCCGTGTCAGACTGTGAGCAAGCAAGCAGCACACAAACCCTCCCTTTCCTCTCCGCAGGCTACTTGCCTGCGAAGAGCAGATACTGCTCTGCCTGGCCTACTGGGCCTTTCTGTGCGTCCTTGTCTGGGCTGCTCTGCCCTGTGCGGTGGAAGTGAATTGTAATTGACTGAAATGCTCTTAGGCAGGAGTCGGTGCTGCCCTCTCTGTTGCCTAGAAACCTCAGTGGTGAGAACGAAGGCCGTCCTTCCGGGCTTTCTGCTGCTCAGCTTCCCTGCGCTTTCCGCTCCGCACCCCTTGCTTATCCCACCTCTAACCCTCCCTGCCTGTTTTCTGCAAGTCTGAAGTCTCAGCTAACCTTACCATCTTGAAATTTTATTTGGATCAGGTCTAGGGTTGTAACCATTGTGTTCCCACTTTTGTGCAAACACCTTTTATTCCCTTCCTATTATTTTAAAACCATTTGGTTTCTGTTGGTAGACACAGAGCAGCTTTGGCTCCCAAGGGAGAGAAGGTGAACCTGTGCTCACACAGGAAGGCCAGTGTCTGCCTCTTGGGTCATCCAGTGCAGGTCAGGCAAGTGACTGAGAAGTCAGGGTCCCCCTTCCCCAGTGTGCCAAAGCGGAAGTTTTGCTGGAGTCTCCATTCTCAGGGTGCAGAGCAAGATCCCCCATGCACCTTGTCACGTAAGTGGATGGAGCAGCTGGGTGCATTGGCAAGAAAGAGGTGGACAGCAGCTAGGCCTGCCACACCTGCCGAGTCTCCAAGTCGGTTAGGGACATGTACCGTGGCAGTGTGCATGCTGCCTGGGGAGAGGAGCGTCAGAGGCCGCCTAAGCACGGATCTCATGACTGTTTCAAGAACCTATATGCACAGTCCCTGGGATTAGGATCCACTTGCCAGCCTCCTCTTGGGTGACTGAGTTGTGTCCTGTATTGTTGGCTCCTGTGCTGCAGGCTGGCGAGCCATGTGGTGGCCCCCATGAGGCCATGGGGCTCCTCCAAGGCACCCCATTCCTTCCATACATTAACCACTGACTGCTCCATCGTGCCGGGACCACCCCATTCCTACCATACATCTACTTCTCTATACTGCCTCAGATCATGGCTGTGTGCCCAGTGGGTGAGGCAGGTGGAGGCCGCTGGTCACACACATCCTACGTGGCAGCCACCTGAGGGAGGGGTCAGGAAAGAAATGGTGGCGGGTTGTTGGGTCACAGCTCTCCAGAAACAGGTCAGGCTGGCTGTGACATCACTGCCTCCTGGCTTCGCACGCAGAGGGGCTGCCTTCTCCCCTTTCATCTGCGGCCCTCTGAGAGCTAGGCAGGAGTCGTTTCTGTGACTGTGTTTCAATGAGTCTTCCTCCAGTGTACCCGTGATACTGTTCTCATCACTTTCTCTTCTGTTTTTAACTCCTGTTTACTTTAGAAACAAAAGCCGAGGCCCTCATCTGACTCCGGGTGCTCTGGATGGGAGCCTTCCTCCACTAAGATCTGGGTGTTGAAGCGCAGACACCTCAGGGCTCTGGGGTGGTAAGTGCCCCCCACTCCTTTCCTGCTGGATGGGAAACCTGGCCTCCTGAACAGGCATCGTGAAGAAAGTGGGGCGCTCTGCTCTGTCTGCACCCACCCCCGGGATCCCTGATTCCCTCCCAGGGAGCAGCTGTCAGTCGGCAGGGGGAAGGGCCTGTCGGTAAGCTAAGGCCCCCCTTTGGGGCTGGCTGATGCCACAGGTGGAGTGGCTGGCTTGGTTGCCTCATCCTCCCCAGGGACTGGTCTGGCCCTGCTTGTCAGGGAGGTGTGGAGGCTGTAGGGCTTTAGAGAAAGGTGGGTGTGGTATTAGATTCAGGACCCACCCAGGGCCAGGTGCATCTGTCCCAGAGCTGGGGAGCCTGGGCCTTCAAGGAGAAGGGGCCACCAGCTACCTAGCCCCTTCCATGTTCTGACACCCAGCTGGCTGCATCTGCCTCCTTTTTCTTCGTATTAGTATACAGTAAGATTCATCTTTCCTGGAGTATATTGTAAAATACAGATTGGTTCATAGTAAGCCATTTCCTTGTTCCTTGTTGGCGGGCACCTGCCCAATTCTGTGGAACGTTTTGTGGATGGACTTGCGTCCGAGCGCAGCAGTCCGTCCGAGGCGTGGCTCTCGTCGCTGTTGCTGAGCAGTAGCTGTCGAGCTGGCTCTCCGTTCACCTGCCGAGGGACATTTGGCTCGTGTTCTGCTTTTGGTCATTGTGAAGGATTTGCTGTGAACCTTGAGTACAGGTTCTGTGTGAACCTCTCTTTTCATTTCTCTTGAGTACGTGCATACCAAGGGATCGCCGTGTCATATGGTAAGCATGATTGCATGTTTAACTCTATTAAGAACTGCCTGAGTCTCTCAGAATTCCGAATCTGTGTTCCTCACGTGTGGACTGCCCACAGTGAGTTCCTCCCAAAGACTGAATGTGCAAATGTAAAGGATTTAAGGGGCACGAAGGAGAGCAGCCTGACAAACGTGACTTCAGCTAAGCCATCTGGTTGGCGTAAGCAGGGAAGTGGAGCAGCAGGACAAGCCACCATCTGTAGAGCTGGCATCTTGTACAAGCAGCACCAGTTTGAGTCCCGGCTGCCCCACTTCCAATCCAGCTCCCTGCTGGGGTGCCTGGGAAAGCAGCAGAGGATGGCCCAGATGCAGGAGCTCTAGACGAAGCGCCTGGCTCCTGACTTCAGCCTGGCCCAGCTCTGGCTGTTGCGGGCATTTGGGGGGGGATGAACCAATGGATGGAATCCTCCTTCCCCTTTCTCATTCTCACTTTCAAATAAATAAATATATTATTTTTTTCTGAAAAAAGAAAGTGATGTGGTGTTGCATGCCCTTGGTTGCTGTGCTGAGCCGTGCTTCCCCACACCTGCAGGCTTTCATAGGTTGTATTTGCACTTCTGTCTGGCTTATTATGTATTCTCATTTTCCTTGAGATGTCTTTGAGCAGGAGTCACGGCAGAGTGTGCTGTTTAGCATCTGAGTGCTGACGGTGTTTTGTGACGTTTCTGCTACTGACTTCTAGTCTGATTCCATTACAATCTGACAACATGCTTGATGTGTTTTCAGTGGTTTTAAAATTGCCAATGTTTATTTTACAACCTGGGATATAGTTTATCTCAGTAAATATCCCATGTGCACCTGAAGAGGATTTTATTCTGTTGCGGTTTGATGGTGTATCCTATAAACGTCAGTTAGACCCAGTCAGCTGCTGGTATTTCCGGACTCGTTTCATATCCTTGCTGATATGCAGTGATGTTCTGTTTATGAGCTCTATACGAGCTTTAAATTCTCCAACTCAATCTGGATTATGTCTTTTTCCTATAAGTTTTATCCATTTCTTACTCTGTATCTTTTGAAACCCCAGTTTTAGGTCCATGCATATTTAGAATTGCTAAATCTTTTTGATAAATTGACACTTTTATTATTATGTAATGTTATTTTTAAAGAAGATTTATTGATTTTTAGTGGAAAGGCAGGTTTACAGAGAGAGAGAGGTCTTCCATTTGCCAGTTCACTGCCCAGATAGGCACAGCAACAAGGATGGACCTTCATGGGGCTAGGAGTCAGAGTTTCCTCTGGCCGTGCCAGGGCCAGCATCCCATAGCAATGCCAGTTCAACACCCTAGCAGTTCCACTTAGGATCCAGCATCCTGATAATGAGCCAAGTGATTCGGCCCCTGCCTCCTTGTGGGAAGACCCAGATGGAATTCCAGGCTCCTGGCCCTGGGCTAGTTCTGCCCAGGACGTGGTAGGCATTTAGGAGGTAAATCAGTGGATGGGAGTTCTCTGTGTGTGTGTCCAACTCTTTTAAATAATGAATATATCTTTCTTTTAAAATTCTCTTGCAAATACCTTAATTTTACCTATATCCCTGGAGGTCGTTTCTGTGTGCTGTTTTGTTTTTGCTGCACACTGAATTCTGGGTTGACAGTTCTTTTCTTTCAGTACTTAAAAAATGTTGCTTCACTTCCTGTTGGCTTCTGTGGGTTTTGTCGAGAAGCCTCTGGTCACAGAGTCCGTATTTCCCCGTAAGTCGCTCAGCGCTTGGCTGCAGCTGTCCTCAAGGTGCGCTCTTGGTCTGTGGGTTTCGGTGGTTTTGTTGTGATGTGTGTAGGTGTGGCTGTCTCGGGTTATCCTGTTTGGGGGCATGGAGCCTCTTGAAGCTCTGGGTTTGTGTCCTCGGGCAGATGAAAGCATGTTTTGAGCCCGCCCTCTTCTTTGTCTTTAAGGACCCCAGTGACCGTCTGGTGTTTGGTGTTGTCTCACGAACCCAGGCCTGTTCCATTCCCAACTTCTTTTCTCTGCTCTGTCCTTCAGATCACCTTAGTTCTATTAGTCTGTCTTCTTCTCACTGACTCTCTTCTTTGTAACCTTTATCTTGCTATTGAGCTGATCCAGTGTTTAAAATGTAAAATTTTCAGCCATTATATTTTGAGTTCTGAAATTTCCACTTGATTCTCCTTGATATCTTCTGCTTGCTTCTGGAGGATTTTTATTTATTTTTAATTTAAAAAATGTGTTTAACAAGCAGATAAACAGCCAATAGAACAATGGTCTGAGAGATCCCACCCTCTGGTTCCCTGCCTGAATATTCTTGACACGGACTGGACAAGGTCAAAGCCAGGAGTCAGGTGCTTACCCCAGGTCTCCCACGTGGGTGGCAGGGACCCAATAACTAGAACTGTCACCGTTTGTCTGCTAGGGTCTGCGTTAGCAGAAACTGGAATTAGGAGCCCGGGCAGCTGTCAGGCCCAGGACTTCTGAGGGATTGTCTGAACTGCTGGGCCAAACAGGAGCCTGTCCAAGACTCGCTGTCTTATGTCAAGATGTTCCCCGTTGTTTCTGAATTGTTTTGAAATAATTACTGCCTTCAAGTTTGGTCTGTTAATTCCAGTCACTGTGTCATCTCAGATAATCTGTTATCTTCGCCTGTGAGTCCTTAGTGTTCTGCATCCTTTTGAATTGATCGTTAGCATTTTCTTCTAATTTTTTTTTTGAAAGCCAGAGTTACAGAGAGAAGCAGAGACATAGAGAGCAATTTTCCATTCTCAGGTTCACTCCCCAGACGGCCACGACAGTCAGAGCAAAATCAGTTTGGTCAGGAGCCAGGAGCTTCCTCTGCGTCTTCCGTGTGGATGCAGGGCCCAGGACCTGAGACGTCTGTTGCTTCCTCAAACCGTAAACAGGGAGCTGGGTCAAGGGTACAGCAGCTGGGACACGAGCTGGTGTTCATGTGGGATGCTAGTGCCACGCGCGGGACATCCGCCCCACTCCGTAACACTCTGATGATCACTTGGTGAAGTCTTGTGCAGAATGTTTGCATCCTGGTTTCAACAGGCACTTGACCAACGTGGCTTCAGGTTCTGGGTCTCGTTCAAGCTTCTCCAGGTTTCAGTGTCCGCTGTGTCTCCAAGCTTTTGCCCAGTTACTCAGGTCTGTGCCAGTCTGGGGTGTAGACAGTCTGTGTTTCCATCCATGCACATTCAGCCCAGGAGTGAGCCCCGGAGCGCACGGCGGTGTCAGGGACGGTGTTTCCAAGCACCACACCGTCTAGTCTTCTCAGTGCTTTCCTGTTCACTGGGATTCTCCTCTTGGACCTTCAGTCAGAAGGAAGGACTGAGCTGTGACTAAACTTCTGTGTCCAGCAAGAGGGGGACTGGGAGCAACGCTCAGTGAGCTTGCCCCTCTAGACCCCAGCCCCCCCAGGGGCGCCCGCAGATTCTTTGCTGGTGCAGTTGTTGCCTCTGGTGCTGTGGAATGGTGGGGGCTAGGGCACAACAGCAGCAAGACAAGGAAAAAAGAACCCTAAGATGGGGTCCATCGGCTGAGAGCCCAGCATCTCCTCCTGCTTTGTAAGCCAGGACAAAAGAGCTGCTCCTGAGCCCCTGACCGCACCGAGGCCATGCCAGGTTCTGGGCTGCGTCCATCTGGCCAAGGGCACGGGCCTCTCCAACAGTGGTGGGGCCTTAGACACTGGTGCCGAGGGGCTGGGCCTCCCTGCAGTAGTGGGGCCTCATGCTGGTGCCGAGGGGCCGGGCCTCCCTGCAGTGGTGGGGCCTCACGCTGGTGCTCTGCCCTCATTCACAGCAGTGACTGGTTTGCAGAGGCCTCAAGTAGTTGCTCTATGCATCCTGCCCCGGGCTTACAATGTCAAGCGCAGGGCAGGCTTGCTCTATCTTATGCAGAACTACAGAGAAGACACAAAATGTGTGTTTTAGAGGCATTGAACAGAATGATCTAGATTAAACAAAATAATGAGGAAGTCAGGCTGTATGTGGCCCGGGGAAGTTATGGTTTGTATGGGCAAAGCAATAGAGGGTGAGTGATTAGACAAGCATTAGCATAGGCATCTGAGATGCAAACACATCAGGGCTGGGCAGCTCCTTCCTTAAGATGCCTGTGTCTTTTTTTGTTTTCTTTTTCAAATTGAAAGACAGTGACATCGAAGGGAGAGAGGGGTGGGTGGTGCTGAGAGAGAGAGCTCTGGCCTCTGCTGGCCATTTCTCTACATGACTGTACCAGCCATGGCTGGGCAAAGCCAAAGGCAGAAGCATGGCCTCCATCCAGGTCTCTCACGTCACTGCAGGAGCCCAAGTCTCCCCCATCTTCACCGCTCTCCAGGCGCACTAGCAGGGAGCTGCACCTGAGGAGCAGCCCGAACTTGAACTATCCCTGCCCCAAGGCTCAAGTTACTGTTCCCCCTGGCCCCATCTCCTGGCTCTACATAGCATATGTAAGCAGAAAGTCTAAAATATGAAATGCTGTAAAGTTTGAAACATTTTGAATGTCCACATGACATCAAAAGTGGAAAGTTCTACTCCTGACCTCATGTGGAAAGTTACAGTTAAAATACAGGCACACTAAAAACATTGTGTAAAATGACCTATTACCCCCAGGCTGTGTATATAAGGTTTATATGCATATGAACCACGAACGGATTTCTTGTGGAGACTTGGAACCTATCCCTGAAATATCCCATCGTGTGTATGCAAGTATTCCAAAATCTGAAAAAAATCCAAAGCTTATGACCACAAGCATTTCAGAAAAGGGACAGTGAGCCTTTTGAATAAAAGTACAGAAGGAATAGAGAAAGGTGTTTTTGAGAGTAAAGCATATTTTAAAATTTATTTATTTGAAATGGAGAGTTACAGAGGGAGGGACGGAGGGAGAAGGAGAAAGAGAGGAAGAGATCTCATCCTCGGGTCCACTCTTCAGACGGCTGCTGCAACACCCGGGGCTGGGCCAGCCAAAGCCAGAGGCTAGCAACGCCATCTGGATCTCCCATATGGGTGGCAGGGGCCCAATTACTTGAACTGTCTTCTGCTTTCCAGGCACATTAGCAGGGAGCTGGATTAGAAGTGGAACAGCTGAGGTTCAAACGGGGTCCATATGGGATGCTGGCATTTAAGGCTGTGCCACAGTGCCAGCCCCCGTTACTGTTGACTTATATCCTGACAGTCTTCAGATACCTAATGTGGATGACGTTTAAACTCTGAAGGGTGCTTCAGCCGCTGGAGGACTTAGCAGGCTGATAGTATAAGGAGGCAGATGGGGCAGCCATACCACGTCTTGCCTTATTCTAGCGTTCAAGGAAGGTGTACATTTCCATCTTGGTGTTTAATTTTTCATTTCACTTGAACAGTTTTCCAGGATGTGCATTATTACCCTAATATGTCAATGAAGTGCCAGAATTAATGTAGCAAATTTACATAATTGTTTACAAATTAGATTTTCTTTCTTTTTTTCCCCCCCTCTCATAAATACAACTACATTTAGCTTCGCCCTCCCCACCACCCCAGAATGGAACATATTTGGGTTATAGCCCTAGCATAGATTAAATAGACTTCTAAAATATTGTTAAACATATTTCAACAAGATTAGGAAGGATTTCAAAAGACCGCAGATGTCCTGTAGAAAACACCAGCTTAATGACAATTTGCAGATTTCTCCATGTTGAGAGGCAAGCTTTGGATTGGCCAAGGGATTTGGCTAGAGGGTGGCAGGCAGTGTGTGGGGGGATGAGGAAAGCCTTAGCCAAGGCACAGTGTGTGAGGAGTGAGGGCGGACCGGCCTGGCCCTGAAGGCTTGCTGAAGTTGCTCCTTCCCGGTGGCAGCATCCTCTCTGTGTTTGGCCACTGAGTGGGCAGCTTTGAGCAGCTCCAGCTTGCAGAACCTAGACTACCAGCCAGAGATGACAGGTGTCGGGGCTGGATGGTGACAGGCATGAGAGGGCTCATCAAAACCTGCCAGCAAGCCCCGCGTTCGGGGGATCTGCCCGCTCTCTCCTCCCACAGGCACACAGGTGTCCGTGCGCAAGGCTCGGCACCCTGGCCCTTCCTGGAGGCCTTCTCTGGCCAACAGAGAAACCAAGCCCCGAGAAGGATAGACGGCTGTTCCAGTCTGTGCTCAACCTCCCTGGGGTTCGTGGAGAAGACCCAAGTTCTAGCCCTGGAGGGAGCCTGTCCTGTTCCAACTGGTTCTGCTGTGCCATGTTTGCTTGCTTTACCACACTACTCAGGAGGACAGAGGGCCAAGCTAGTCTCCATCCAGACTGAACCCAGCTGTTCCTGAGTTGCCGGCTGTGTCCTTGTGTTCAGAGACAGCTGCTCACCAAGGGAGGGGCTCGCCTCACAGCAAATTCTGATGTTTAGTTAGAGTGGAGCCAACTCGGTCTGTTCACGGTGAAAATCCATGGCAAACACCTGTCGCTACATTCCACCTCATGGTCTGAAACAGGAGGGCTCAGCCGTTGACACAGGAATTACCTGTGAGAAGTTAAACATTACCAAAGTGTGATAAGTTAAGCCATTAGTAAAACGGCCTGTATGAGGTGCCTTTTGGGTGGGGACTTAGGAAAATGTCTGAGAAATGAGGACGGTAACCCTTTAGACTCTCGTAGAGCTGTAGGACTCTGATCTTGTAACCCACCCCGGGCTCCCGGAACTCCTGGCTCCTTCCGTTCCTGGGCAGCATGGTGCAGTGGGATTTGTCCTGGAACCCTCGGTGCCTGAGCTGAATCAAAGAAGGCAGGGCACTGGGCTGTTTGTCCTGAGAGGGAGGGAGCATGTCTCCTAACGTTGCATTGCTGCGCCTTGGCACAGAGCCTGGCCCACCTGCGTGGCTTAGAAATGGAGGCACTGAAGCCACAGCTCTGCGCCACTCTTGGTGGCAAACTTGCACCCTGGGCTAGGAACCAGTAGATGTGCCCTTTCTTCTCTGAACAGTTGAGATGTTTTCTTCTTTTTGGAAGTTATGGCAGTTGTAGTAGAGGGGAAAAACGCATCAAGCTGTATAAAGTGAAGGGATGTGGCCAGAAACCCTGGAGGTACAGTGCCAGTGGCAGTGGCTCCTGTCTCAGTTCCCCCTCTGGAGCCACACAGAATGCAGTCCCTGGTGACACGACAGCGCCTCGTGGACCTGAAGCCCACCCTCTGTCTCCCAGGCCACCTCTGGGTGCTTGACTCCCTGGCTGCCGCCTGTGTGACAGTGCGGTTATTAGACTCCCGAGGATACGGGCGCGGGCTGGATGGCGTTGTTTGTTGGACGCTGTCTGGATTCTCAAGAGCTCTTTTCTCCTCTCATGTTTTTAAAAGCAGTTTCTGAATTGGAATGCCTTTGCAAGGTGGTTGCAGTTTCTAAAACAGTGAATCCTAATGGGTGGCAATGACAGCAGGTGTGGATTCTCAGATGGGGTCACCTGTGGTCCTGCTGCAGCATGGAGAGCTGAGTTGGCTTGCAGTGGGTAGAACAGAACAGAGTGTTCTGGAAGCAGTCTGACCTCCCTCTCCCTATGGAGGCAATTGAATGAAATAATTATTGTGGTTTTGGATCAGATAACGTATCAACGAGTCTGAAGGTCAGGTTGGAGTTTTGTTGTGTTCGTGAGACACAGTGACTTTGATCAAGCATCCCATTGACTAATGAACTCCCATTAGCTCAGATAACTGTGGACCGGAATGTCGCCTGCCTCGCCAGCAGTCTGTGTGCCATCCGAGAGTGCCACCACACTGTTCCACTCATGCCTGACACAGCGAAGGCCCTCAGTAAACACCAGCAAGTGAGTGCATTTCCTCTCCAGGCGACTTGCAGGCCAGCCCATTGCTGAAGTCTGCCAGGGTAGTTTTTGGAGTTGCAGCATTGTCACTCCACGTTAACACTGTCAGCCTTCAGTATCCTGT